TGGATTCTGGTGGTTTCTTCGTAGTAGTTTGCAAATTTTTTTTTTTTTTTCTCCTAGTTTAGTTTCTTTCCAAATTTCCATTAAATTTTCAGTGCTTCCGCCAGCCTCGCCAAGTCCCGACTGCAAACCCTCTGACGCTCCAAACCCAGAAACGAAAGAATCCGCGACTGAACCATGTTCGGCAGAGTCTGTATAAACATCACCCTGTTTGTGCTTGGAGGCCAAGCCGAAGACGAGGGAAGAGAATCGTCGGCGACTATCGAGTCCAGAGGTTTCATCAGCAACGAGAGGAAGGAGCCGGTGGTGATTGGGGTCGCCGATGACGATGAGGCGCTGAAAGATTGGTTTAGCCACGCAGAAGCTTTGGATTCGGGAGTCGGGGAGGTCAAGAAGATGTCGAAGAGTGGGACCCATTGCTCCATTTCTCCCGCTCCGGCTCTGCAACTCTCTGTTAGGTTTTGGGGGTTTTTTCTTGAGAACCCATTTGATGGATTTAGATCGAGCTTCCAAAACCCAGCTGGGAATGATAACATTTTCGTCTTTCTTGAACCTAAATTCCATCTCTCTGTTGATTCCGTATCAACCCCGTCGCCATTTTTGCGTCTCCGGGCTTCAACAACTGCGAACAGAGAGGGAGAGAAAAGGATAAGGAAGTGTCTGCAAGTGATTCGGAGTAAGGACATTGTGTTCTGGGTTTCAAGGTTCAAGTTCTCAGGTTTTGTCTTAGATTACTAATTTTCTTTCCACCATATCAACTGTTTGTGATAACGTCTCAGTGAGAATTTTCTTGGGAATTTTGGAAGTGTCAAGGCCGATAGCCGTATACTTCAGATTTGTTCAGATTTGTGCACTTGAAAAAGGCCGATTGCCAAGAGTGTGTTGAATGCATTTTGTTTCCTCCATAAGGCCGATAGCCGGAGTGAAAAGTTCTGTCTCAGATATTGTGTGTTATTCCTTAAAGGCCGATAGCCGGAGTAACGTTCTTGAAAAAAAATTTTGTTTGTTGTTATTGTGTGCAACTCCATTAAGGCCGATTGCCGGAGTGCAGTTCTTGTTCCCTTTCTTTGTTGAAGGCCGATTGTCGAAGAAGGTTGTGTTTCTTGATTTCTGTGATTGTAAGAAGTTGATTGCTGGATGGTCTGCTTCAATCTCAAACTGGGCAATCCCAGTTGAGATTGAGGGGGGATGTTGACAATATCCAAAGGTTGTTAGAGTTGTTATCAAAATTAGTTAGTTAAATAGCTTAGGCTGCAAGTTAGTCATGATGACTATATAAACTGTATTCTCATAGTTGTAAAGTTTAATTCAGTATCAATGTAATCAATTACTTTCTCTCTCTCTTTTATTCTCTTTCTGCATTTCTGTGCTTCTCTACACGTTAAGAATTACCACAAAATCTTGCATTCTGCTTTATAAAAGTACAGACTAAATTCTAAGTGTTTATTGAATCTATTGTGTCGACGAGATACGCAGTCTACGAAACTAATTTTAGTGATTCAACCGTTACACTTTTTTTTTTTTTTTATTATAGTATGAGATCGCATATGCCAAAATTCACTTAAAAAAAACTTTCAAGGATTAGGTAACTGGATGAAATAATTCTATGGTTATAAACGTATCATCATGATTTAACGATTATTTTAACTCTGATTTTGATTATTTTTTGCAACTACACTCCTGGATCGTAGAACAATACAATGAATAGACTCGATTGTGGGACCATAATTTTCTATGACAAGAGTAAGGCGGATCGGAATACGCATATCTCATAAGTCCAATCATGGAACGAAGCAGGGATGACACCATCATTGGACTTACGAGATATGCGTATTCCGAAGTAGCGATGACACCATCATCCTGTTATGGAATTAGTGGGCGAAGTTCGATGACTTCACTAAGATTGACCGTGTTTGTTCCGCAAGATATAGAAACCTAATCTAGCAAGGAATTAACGGGTTTCAATAATCTTAGAGTTCTTACAATCTAAGGATTGATGTGCACTGCAAGTAATCACACTTCTAAGAGGAAGCAATATCTACTTCCTAAATATATCTTGGGATTCTCACAGTTTAATAAGGGTTCTACTATTCTAAAAGTTCTCCTCCTCGACTAATATTAATACACTCTTCTAGGGTTCATCTCTGGTGACACAATTATCACATACTTATTTTCTTACCACTTCTTGAGTCTTATTTTGCTTACTAACTTGACCGTTGAAGAGACATTGATCGCACACCTCCTGGTCTTTGGGTAGCTCTGTTGTTGATACCAAACAGGCTCTTAGAAATTTGTAAGAATTTTATAAATTGTCACATTTTTAGGAATACTATAATTTGTAGAAATAAAAAAAAAACAAAATTTATGTAATTTGTATGAATTTTATGAATTAATGTCATGTTATGAAATATTTAAAGAGTGAGTAAGTGGCACTAGCGATTGTCGCTCTACCTCTGGTTTAAGTCAGAGTGAGTAAGTGGCAGAAATACCGATCTGCCACACATGCATAGTCGGAGATGGCACGGCAATGTGCCAATCCCATCCCTTCTAGACGCCACGGTCGATGCCGTTACGGGGGCTGTGCGTTAGAGGGAGACGGAGACGGAGACGGAGAATTCCCAGCTGGGAAGATGGTCAAAGTGCAGGGATATGTAGATGTTCGTTCTCGAACATGATCACCACGTAGTGAAAAACAAGATCGTTGTCGACAACGACCCGCTCCATCGGCGAGAGAGTCTCAAAGTCGACATCCTGTTGATTCACGACATAAGAGCCATCATCCTCACCAAGTGCCCCATATTCGTCCCTTCATGGAAGAAGCTCTCCCCCAAGTGCGGGAAGAGATGATGAGACAGATCTCAGTAAGTGTGTATTTTTAAACTAATACACTTTTTTTGGTTGTTGTCTTTTTCAGGTCAACTTCTCCATCAACATAGAGCACCCGGATATGTTTGAGTACATAAATCGAATTGGACCGGATGGTACAAGGAGTGGAAATAAATACGAGCTACATGTACGTACTACCACACTTGTGCATCTACTGCTAAACCTCCTACTGATCCATCCCCGGAGTTTACCGACAAGATGGCCCAAGTGAGAGTGGCTCTGCAGTCATTTTTAGAGCCCGAAATTTATAGTAATTAAGTTTTTTTTTTATTTCATTTAATTAATTTTTTTTTTAATTTAACTAATTTTATTTATTCACAAGGGAAATCGAGGGCAAAATAAGGGTAACTAGGAAGCGAAGTGGTACCTTTATCACTTAGGGGATATGCATGCCAATTATGGCAACCAGGTGTTTGACAACATTTATGTAAGTACTCTGTTCAATATTTCAATTTGAAAATTCATTACACTTACCAATTATAAAATCATGATTGATAATCTTAATTGGTTTCTCTTTCTTTTGTAGGCTTCCATGTCACAAAAGAATGACGAGTACCTCACCAACCTTTTCCAACAATAATTGGACATGCCAATAGAGGAGCTAACACCTAATCTAAAGGTATCTATACAGTTGATGGATGGGTTGGGCGAGGGATGGGTTGGGCGATGGAAGGGTAAAAAGATACGTTGCTTAGAAGTAGGTGTCAGGTTCGAGACCACGGGGTATCTTCTACATCTATCTCTTAGACTCCAAGTGAGACATCTTCGAGACGACAGCAAAAAGAAGATCAGGAAGAAGAGATGTGCCAGTGAGAAGAGGAGTTTCGGTGGTACATTGCTGGGATGGCCCATGCAATGGTAGTCTCTAGCATTTGCCTCCCCCAAATCCTCCACGCCACCTTCAACCGCCATCCCGCGAGCCATCAACAGTAGTTAGTTTAGGATATTTTACATACATTTGTATGAATATTTTAGTTTTAGAATAATTAAATACATTTTTTAAATATTGTGATTTGTTTTAGATTAATATAATCAGAGTTTATTTATTTATTAAAATTAAATATAATTTTTAAATTACGAATTATTTAAACATATAAAACTTTTGGCCAACGAATTTTTCCATCGAGCTTCTGTTTTGTATTTTTTTCCTTAGATTAATTGTCTGATGGCCTTCTCGTAGGGCAAAATAAGTTTACATCATTTTATTTTCAGAAACCCGATGAAATAGTAGCGTTGGGCAAATTTGGTTTGTCGGGCCAACGATTGAGCGACGCCGTTTGCTAGACTAAAATTGCCCCGACGAATTGTCGTCGGACAAAAAATAGGCGACAAAACCTTATTTGGCTTGACAATATTATTTCGTTTGGAGAGGGTGTTTTTTTAGTGGAATTGGGACCTGTGGAGGTTTTTATTTTTTTTGGTGTAGGGCAACTCAATCCAGATGCTTGGGCATTTGGAGGTCTGCTGGACTTGCTCTTAACATTGAGTAGTGCGAGAACGAATAGTTGAGATTGAAGAAAGTAGATCTAAAAGTTGTGGAAATCAAATCTATTTGTAACCGCTAAATATTCGTAACATTGAATGTTACGTAGCTTTAAAGTAAGAGACTAGTTGGTATTCATCTTCACTTGTAAGTGAGATGTTTTATATTCGATTCTTGCCAAATGCGAATATGAACACATTAATATGGCTCGTCCATTGTGAGACTTAACCCACTCTCCCGTCTTTTAATGTGGATAATATCACTTACTCAAAAAAATACAATAAAAATAAAAATAAAAAACGTAGCTTTGGAGCCACACCCCTAATTTTCTTCTAACTATAATTTCATGTTTCTGTATTTTTGCTGTTTGTATTGCGTTCCGTCCCTGTTTTGCCTTTTTGGCTGTTAACAAATATCCCATTCGACCGAAAGAGAGAAGCTAAGAAAATTTAACAAGTTTTTGTTTTTACTTTTTACCTATTTTCAAATGTAACTCACTAGCCCAATAAGGCCACTTCTTTTGTTTCATTTCTCTAGTACATATTTGTGTTAACTTGGTAAAACACACAGATACTGTATGTGTGCTAATTTGAAATATTTATTTGTATGTTAGTATGCACACATACACTTCGGATTATGACTCGTCTAATGTTTCAATTCCCACTGGCGTGATGATATCCTCCGAATTGCAAGAATCCGAAACCAAACTCACAAGAAAATCAAAGATATCGGTGCCTACGACAGCGGATTCGATGTCCTCTTTGTGCAGTGTCCTTCTCTTCCCTTGTTGGGTAGTCATCCAAGACCTCCTGGTGAGCTCCTCTATGAACAATTCACACGCCTTTGAGAACACAATTGGAGCCTCTCCTGATATCATCTTCACGTCCTCCCCAGAATTCTTCATGATCTTCTTGATCCTCGCCAAGGGCAACGAGTGGGGGCCCGATCTCCCCGTTATGCCTCCACACATCATCAATCTCGAATACCTTCCTGGTTGCCTCATTTGTTTTGAACGTTCGAACTTTGTGTTATCAAGTTACCGAAGTTACGAAACTTATAACGTCTGTCACTTTATGTAAATATGATAACAAGGGAGCAGCCGGCAGGCCATGCCAGCCTGCTCAAGCCGGCTAATTAAATATGATGACCTAGTTATTAGTTTCTTAATTATATAAACGATCCCTTAGATAAATTCCCTTATACAATTTTGTACTTACATTTTTTCAAAGCCTACAATAATGATATTGAAATGTTAATAAAGTCAAAGCCCATATATGAGACGTCACCTTAAACAAGCATATGCGTTTGGTGTCCACAATAATAACTAATAAGTGGAACAAGGATCCTTGGCGACAAATTTCTATATAGTGGCATAGGATGCAATACATATACAAACAGATCATGGTTCACTTTTATTGTATCTTATTAAGCTTGATGTTGGTTTCATGTTTGGCTTTTGAAGCACAATTCGTAAAAGGTTCTGTCGGTTGAGATTTGGTCTAGTTTCAATATTAATTGAATAATAAAACATAATAGCTTAGTGTGGATCATTGCCCTTATATACTGTATAATATAAATAGCTGATATAGTTAGCTCGGTACATGAATGTGAGTTTTGTTGGGTTATAGATATAAAATACATGAGTGCTGAAGTATTAATCAGTTAGTGACTTAATATGATTGTAATCACTAGTTTAGGCAAACTACATAGTGTTATTTCATGATCCAAACTGTTTTCTTAGGTTGTCATTCAACGATCATGCTTGCAAAAAGTAAGCCAAAACAGAAATCATTCCACTATTAGATTGTGTTAAAATGGAAATTTTCATTGTTTGCAGGAAATTGTGTTAGTCTACTTGTATGATCATGAGAGATTTTTAGGTGCATCTAGAATATTGTCGGAGCATCTCCGATGCAAGGACTCAAATCTTATATTTGAGTCAAAATATAAAGCAAAACATCTTCAATGAACATGAGACTTGAAACTTATATTTGAGTTTTGAGGCAAAATGAGACCCAAACTTGAGCTTCAATACAAGATTTAAGACCAAGGTGGAGCTCATGTCAACTAGAAAAAATGTTATTCAACCAAGAAAAATGAGATTTGAGTCCAATCATCTCCAATGCACATAACCAAATTGTTACAACTCAAATATGAGTATTGAGTCCAATGTTTCTTCTCCAGTGCAAAGACTCAAATCTTAAGACTCCAAATTGAGTCTTAAGATTTGAGACTTAAAATTGAGTTTAAGATTTGAGTCTTTTCATTGGAGAAGAAAACCAAAATACATAAATCCACCACCATTTTGGGACCAAAATATGAGAATAGAGTTTCGGACTTTGAGTCTTTGCATTGGCGCTCTCACATGGTGTAATCATTCCACTCAAACTATGATATTTGCATTTGTTATTTATTAGTATACCATAAAAGTAAGACCTATTAGCCTATGTTATTCACTCATGTTATAACAGGTGAAATATTAGACGGAGTTTTTGAAGTTTAATCCTTGAAAACCTAGTGTTAGTTACATATTGATTCTAGTCCTTTCATTTATTTATTATAGGAAAGAAACTTCATTAAAGGGAGAAACCCCTCACACAGCCGGAGCTGATACAATCAAAATGGAAGGCCAAGTTTGCGTCCACAAGAAGACAAGCATCCCAAATATAAAGGTTATCTATCTTAAGCCCAACAGACGCCACAACATCCGCAACAAAATTTGCTTCCTTTAATGCATGACCCCACTTGATATCTTGGAAGGACAAGGCACACCACCTGATGTCTTCAATAATAGATCTCAAATTCCATGACACTTCACAGGCACCATGGATAGCATCAATGATAAGCTTAGAATCACCCTCCACAAAGTGTGTCAAGCTTCTCTTTCTAGCCCAGATCAAAGCCTCACATAACGCTAGAGCCTTACCAACGTTAATGGTTGTAAACCCTAAGTTTATAGCACCGGCGAGGATAGGTCTGCAATGCCATTTCCTAATAACGAAGCCTCCGGCAGCCAAGGAGTTAGACACCAACCCGTCGAAATTTATTTTAACATAAGGAGACATTGGACATTTCCACTTGATCAAGTTATTTTCAACTGGCACTTTTGCACTTTCTAGATTAGCAACATTAACCTTGAAATAATCATTGACACGCCCTAGCCTTGATATCCCCACATATCAGGGTAGGCACGTGCTGGCCAACACCCAAGGGTGACGAAGCCATTTAAAACACGCATATAACTCAAAATATATGCAATTAGGACGATTATACCAAAGTAGGAACGTGCTCAGAGCATACAACTAACTAAGAATAATATGAAAGAACTACTAGGAAAAGATACAAACAAGGGAATGATACCTATACTGAGGAGCTCAAAGATACCTATGCTATAGAGTCCTAATGCCGGGATCAGGTGCCTCGACCCTAACTCTTGAGGGGGCGCAAAATAGAAAAGGTGAGGGGACCAAAGTTTATTATAATAATACTAATAATAGAAAAACATTTTATTTCTGAACATACTAACCCCCTATTTTGAAAACACATATATAATACCCCAAAGGTGAAGCTGTATAAAATAGCATACATCCACACTGACACTAGCCGTGGCTAGTGAAGCTGTCCGACACTGCTTTCGATGAAGCTGGGGGTCTATCATATATCATATCTCACTCCTCCATCTTCAACAATGTCATATGGCCATAGACATATGTACCCGTGGTGTGCAGATGTGCTATATGATAACCCACTAGGTAAGTACCAAAAACATATCTCAAAATCTCGTATCAAACATCGGAGCTCAAAAGCTCAAACCTCGCCTCATAAATCCAGCGTAAATCATATTCATAATCCAGAACAAACATATACGTGAATCCATAGAATGTCATAAACTAAAATCCCATGATTCATAACCTTTAGTAGTATATAAATCCGCCATATCATAATTTTTTCGTAAAAGCAATTTAATAAATCATAAGTATGAAAATCCGTAAAACATATTATAAATCATGCTCCATTCATAAAATATGCAATGCATGCTAGACTAATATTTTATAAAAATATATAAGTTTAGAAGGGGTTCACTCACAGATATTATTGCTTGAGAATCGCTCGAACTATCGAGGATGACGTCTCTTCCCGCTAACGCACCTAAACACAATTAGGGACCTTTTAGTAAAACTCTACTAAAATGTTAGAATTGGGAAAATGGACGACGTATTCGGATTCAGCCCATCGAAAAAACCTAAGGAGGGACCTCAGGTTTTCCCCCACGAGCCGCCGCACATGGCAGTTTGCCGCCCCGACTAGCTGGAAAATCAAACAACTCCAAAAATTTTCAAAATTTACAGGAATGAAGATCTTGATGAGTGAAGCAAGTTTCATACATGTAACTAAGCCCAATTTGGCCGAGAAAAGCCCCAATTTCACTCAAACCCGCTAGAAACACTAGAAATTGGTGACTTCGATCTGTCACTTCCGGTGCTCCCTCGTCCCCAAACATGTTTGGCCTTTGTTCCTGACCTCTAGAGGAGTGTTTTGGTGGTGGTAATTGAAGGAGATCGTTTCACAAATGGTGGATCTTGGGCAAGGTTTCCCGCGACACCCACGGTGATTTTTGCACCAAACTACAACCAAATTTCTTCTAATCTTAGGTGGAAATGGAAGAGGGAAGGTCGTGAAATGTTTTCCAAGGGGTGTCTCGGCTTAATTTGCCATAAATTGGTCGGGAAAGCACCGGGTTCCATGGTTCTCGCCGATCAGGTCGCACGAGTCAAGAAAGACTTGGTTTTCCCCTCCTTTTTTTCCCTTTTTCCATTGGCCCATCCTCATCCTCCCTTTTCTATTTGACCACATCTTCCCCTTCCTTTCTCCTTTCTCTTTTTTCTTTTCATTTCATCCGTCCACGTGTCACTTCCTCACTGCTCCAGATTTTGCTGGAGCCTTCTAGATTTATGGTCAAATGACCATTTTGCCTTCAACTTCGTTCGTTAATAACTCCAAATTGTGTTTTTCTTGTGCCCACGCATTGGTAGTGACAAGTACTATAAGGATAAGCCAAGAAAATGGATCTTAAGTGAAACGACAAGGTGGTCAACAAAAGTCAACGTATTTGCCTTGAAGGGCATTTTCATAAATTCATGTTTTAAAATTATAAAAACTATAATTTTTGGGGACGGGTCATTACAATCATTAACTGTAACTATCGCGCGAAGAAAAGATCTACTATGCAAAGGCTTTCATTCCTAAAAATTCTACCATTTCTATCATTCCATATTCGCTAGCAAATAGCCAAAGATTTACTTAAGTTACTTGCAACATTCTTATTCCGATGAGAGAGGTTTTTAAGCCAATCATTTATCTTGAGGTTAGTATCAATATTTGAAAATAATGTATCATTGGAGCAACTCCAAACTTGCTTAGCATACTGACAATGGAGAAATAGATGATCTTGATCTTCCACGTGGTTATTGCACAAAGGACAATTAGTATCCATATTTGTTATGAACTTGCTTAGTTTCTTCCTAGTTTGTAACTTACCCTTGATAAGGCTCCAGGCAAACCACTTTACTTTGGGAGGCAAGATTTGCTTCCAAACTCTATTGATAAGACCTTGAATCGGCGAAGGGCCAAGATCCTCCATTTGGAGCCAAGTCGCGGATTTAACTGAGAACCTAGCATTAGTACTTGGACCCCAAACAACAGAGTCCTTGAAAGAATAATGAGGGATAGGAATGTCACATATTTTGTTAACAATATAATTGTCTATCACTTGATTTAAATTGTCTCTATCCCAATGACCATCAACAATAAACTCTACAACCTTAGTGCCCTATTGGATTCGATGTCTTCGATTCTCTGGTATAAGATGGACGAGAGGGTGAAGACAAACCCAGTTATGAGTCCAGAACATAATGTCTTTGCCATCACCTACCACCCACCTCATACCCTTAATAATAATGTCTCTGGACCCCAAAATACCTTTCCAGGCTAGTGAGTGGCTTTGTTTAGTTTTAGCCTCCAGAAAAGTATCATGTCTAATGTATATCCTTCTGACTATATTAACCCACCAGTTATCATTATTGAAAAGCACTTTACATCCCAGCTTAATAAGACACACCGTATTAAAATGGTCTAGGTTCCTGATACCTAAACCACTCGCATTCTTTGGTCTACATATTTTTTCCAACTCACATGGCTACAATTACGATTATCACCCCAAAAAATTGTCTGCATTCTCTATTTAATTTACTGGTTAGTTTATGAGGACATTTAAAGTAAGACATTATATGATTAGGCATACCTATAAGGTTGGATTGGACAAGCGTAAGTCTCCCCACCTTTGAAAGGGTTTTTGCCTTCCAACCTGCAAGTTTTTGCTTAACCCTCATGATCATCTCATTTCCATTCATAGAGTGCTTCTAGAAAACAATATTATGTATATGCCAATGGTGGTTTTATGTTGAATTTGGAGAATATTAACAATATTGTTCTTTAGAAGATCATTTGCAAACTTATTTAAAACCTCTAGCACATTCCTGGCACCCTATATAGTTGCCTTGGCAAAGATAAGGCAATCATCTGCAAAGACTAAATTCGAGACTTTGTAGCCAAAAGGCAAAGTGAGCAAACTAATATGGGTTTTAGGAGTATAAGCTAACTCATTCAAACTCCTAATAAGGGTTTACATGCAAAGAATGAAAATTTAGGGAGATAAGGGGTCACCTTGTCTAATACATCTACTTGGGCAAAAGTAGCCACGAGATTCTCCATTAATATTGACTAAGAAGGATGTAGAAGAGATACATTCCATACTTAAATTGATCCACTTATGACAGAAACCAAACCTTACCAAAACACACTTGATATAATCCCAATTTAGAAGATCATACGCCTTTTCCAAGTCTAGCTTGACAGCTAGATCCCTTTTCCTGCCTTTCTTCCTGTTAAAACTAGAAAACAATTCATGAGCAATGAGGATGTTATCCTGTATAGATCTGCCCGGAGCAAAAGCTCCCTAGTTGGGCGAGATACACAAATGAATGAGGGATTTCAATCTAGTAATCATGACTTTCGTGATAATTTTGTAACCAAGATTACAAAGGCTAATTGGTCGATAATTATTGACAATCTCTAGATTCTCCACTTTTGGAATTAGAGCAATATTTGTATGATTAATTAATTTGAGACTGGTATTATTGTCAAAGAAGTCTTTCACCATGTTGCACACTGAAGGTCCCACTAAGTCCCAACATTCCTGGTAGAAACTTGCATGGATTCCATCAGGCCTTGGTGCTTTAAGAGCACCAATGCTTTTAACAACATGCCAAATCTCAGCATTTTAAGGAGTATCAGTTAACATGTTATTATGCTCATTTGAAATACAAGGGTTTATTACTTGATTGATTAAGTTGATGTGATCAGCAGTAGGATTAGAGCAATTAGTGAATCGCAATTTAAATTCCTACACAAAGACTTGCTCCAAACCCTCACCTCTAAACCACCAAAAACCATTGCCATCTTTGATCTTGTTGATTTCATTGTGCTTGCTTCTTATCGTGGCACTCAATTGGAAGAATCTCGTATTTTGATCTCCATGTTTTAACCAATTTGCTTTGACTTTATGAGCCCACATTACTTCTTCCTCCTTTTTCTAGTCCTTTTATGTGTATTTTAATATTCTGCTTTTGTTTTAATATTTAAAGTGTATTTCATTCAATGTCTCCCATAATTAAATATTTGAATTTATATATTAATATACACATTCTAATTTATTAATTATGTTTAATTCCCTCAAAATATTTAAAATGAATTAATGTACCAAAATATATTATAATGAATTAATGTACCTAAATGTCTGTACCAGTATTTATATAACAAAATTTATGTACCGAAATATATTATAAATAACTAATGTACCTAAATGTTTGTATCAATGGATATGATGAAATATATTAAATAAAATAATGTACCCAAATGAAGAACCCAAAGTGTACTATAATATGTTATATAAAAATTTAGTTTACCTAAACGTGTACTACAAAATATTTTATGATGAATGAAATGAAAATGAGAATTAAATATACCTAATACATAAAAATTAGGAAGAAAAACAAATAAAACATCAAAATATAATTATAAATCAGGTGATTAATATATTAAGAGACTAAAAATTAGATTTCAAATTTTTGCAAGGATTAGAATGAGGTTTTCTAAAAATTAGTATTTATGAGAAATAACTTCTACACTTTTGTGCACACCTTTATTTATTCTTTATTTTTGTCCCTGAGTTTTCATTGAATTTATTCAATTTAAAAACTAAAATTAAATATGATATAGATGTGGAGAAATGAGATGTGCATATAAATTACTTCTATATGTAGGGAACCACTTTAATCTTGACATGCTAGTTAATTTGCCATAGCCAAAAGCTGAAGATGAATAACCGGGTTAAATAAAAAATTAAAATTAAAAAAATTAAAAAAAAGGGTTAAAAGTAAATAACTGGGTTGGTGATCCATTAATCATTAATCTTTGTTAATTTGCAATAATATGCCTACTTTGGGCATCTCATTTATGCATCGGTGGCATGAGAATCTAAGAGGGTTCTGAGTTCCCAATCCTTAATTTATTTATCTCGATACTTTAGGATATTGATCTCCAAAAACTCTGGATAATTAATCGAATGTGTGCTTATTTTGTACAACTCAGATTAAAAGTCAAGTAATATCAACACAAACAGAGAATACATTTTGCTCTTATTTGGGTACAGACTATATATTGCTATTTCATCAGAAACTTACAGTTTTCATTGGACTCTTTCTTACTATTTAAAACAACATAGAAACAAAACTTGTGAAAGAATTACCAAGAATGCCACATAATTCCACCACCCATAGTCCGAAATTTAGGAAAGCGCAATACCACACGGATTTTTGGCGACTTGTGTCTTTGTTTACCTCCAATCGCAACTGGTGGTTTAGATTAATTTTAGGGTCTTTTAATTCCAAACCAAATATTCTAAATTACTCTCACTAGCACAATAATAAAATTTCTTTTTTGCATTACCTTCCTTCTCTCTTAGAGCCCCTGGAAAGAACGAGAAAGAGAGAAAGAAAGCAGAGCTAATATTGAAGCGCCTAAAATTATTTTCTTAGGCCTTCAGGTTTCTCTTCTTCATTGTTTATGTGATCTAAATTAATTTACTACAAAGGTGGTAACACACATTGGGGTGCATTGAGTTTTACATTCATAACACACTGTTTACAAGACAACCCATAATCTGGTGGCTTTGGCCAAAATCTCCATGGCGAGCCCAGCGCCAACACCACCTGAAAAAGAAAAGGCTACTCCTGCAATAGTTGAAAGTAATCTCTCTCTCTCTCTCTCTCAATGTTTTCTCATATATATATAAACACACACATATACTCTGCTACGGATTTTTTTTTTAGTTAAATTTGATTTTCATAATGGTTTGTATCATTTATTTCAATCTTAAATATTCAATTTTCAGTACCATTCAATGCTACACTGCATTGAAAGAAAAATTGGTGTTCCTTATGCTCCTATTTTCTTAGAGATTTTCTTATATAATTTCCTAATTCATATATGAATGTTGTGATGCTGTTTTATTTTGAAGAAATAGAATTTTTTTTTTTTTTTTTTTAAATATGGGCCATTTGAGGAGAGATTCTTGAATGTGCCAATGAATGTTATGTCCCTATACCTCAAATTTAAGTACAAACCAATAATACTAGACATTAGAGTAGTTCTAATAAGGCTCATTTGGGAATGCTTCTAAATGACTGAAACTTTTAGAGAAAATGCTTTTGCAACAAATCCTTAGTAAAAATGTAAGTTAATCCTAGAAAATCACTTAACGTACTTTCTATAAGAAGCACATAATGGGTGCTTCTTCCAGGAAACACTTCTTGCTTTTGAAACTCAAAAATATTTTCTCTCAAAACACTTTTTGTCATTTCCAAACTAGCCCTAAATTCTTTAAAATTTTAAAGTCCTATATATGATGCAATGCAAAACCATTTGTTATATATAGGCAGTTTCAAAACATTTCTATTTTTTTTCTTTTGCCCTTTTTAGTTTTTTATTGTAATTAAGAGTGAAAGTCTACATTATAACAAGGGAACGAGATCAAGAATGATAAAAGTGGTAACAAAAATTAGGGAGAAAACGTCACTATGTGTGTAAGTTTTTTGTTATTTTCATTTCTACAATTTTTTTGCTCACTTTGTTTTCTTTTTCTTTTAAATGAAAAAAAATTACCAGTCGGGTAGTGAATTTATATGTATAAGTTGGTATATGATGAAGACTGGTACTTGCACAACACTATGAAGTAGTTAGGTCTAACTTCTAATTATGGATTCTTTATTTCTGTTTGTGCAGAGGATGCTGGTGCAATTAGAAAAGGTAATTGGCCGGAACACACTATCATGAAGTTTCTTAATTTATGCCTGCATTACGTACTAATTTGATTATTTAAAGTAACTAACAGTTTATTTCCTCAACTACTTGTATCATTTCTTGTTCTTACACAACAGTTTTGTCAACCAAGTCATTGGGTTTAATCAAAGCATGGGAAGAACGCGAGAAAACAAAAGTAGACAACAGGTAAGATATTTAAAACCATTTTAGCTTTTTAACACATTTACTTATTTGGTAGGAGAAGCTTGGCACATTTATACAACTTCAGTTAATATGGATTATCATCTGTTCATTAACTTTAAGATCCATTGTTTAACACTCAACTTATTCAAATTGTTGAACAGAGCAAATAAAAAGTTATCTAATGTTGTGGCATGGGAGCTAAGCAAACAAGCGGCTATTGATGCGCGTCAAAAGAAGTATGAGGTAATTAATAGGACTATGTTAATTAGGGAAATTTCCCACACCCTTTTATTCCTCGTGCACACTTCTATTTATTTTTTATCTTTGAATCAAATAAAATAAATTTAATAGACAAAATATAAACAGGTGTGTACAAAAAGAGAAAGTGGTGTGCAAAAATCATTTCTCTTGAATTAGGGTTGCACATTGTGATTACCCGTAAGCTGTTAGAGATGCAATAGTACGTAGTGATAGTAGTGGTTCCCCACTGGATGACGAAATTATAGGGACTTCTGAGACGGACCACCCTAGACATACTAAATCCTTCCTAAGCACTCATGGTAAAAAAATTAGCATTTAAATTCTCATCGTGTAGTTTGTTAGCAAATTTAATTCACAAGTGAAATTTCAGTTAAATACAGAGGTAAAAATGTATTTTACCTCTCTTTCTAGTGATCACATTCTCTCTTCATCTCTCTGTCTGTAATTTGTATCTTCACCTTCTTCCCTCCTATCTATCTTCAACTATTGTCGTGGGTATTCTAACCGGCCAATTCCCAACCTTGTTGCAGCCAACCTTTTTCATCTGTTTTTCATCCAAATATAATATTTGAAACTAATACGGAACAATTAGATTCAAGTTAGCGTGGACTCTCTAACCAATCGGAAGTATGCATATAAACCTCGAAAGCCACGATTTCTAAATATTTTGCCAAACGCAGACCTCATAGTTCGATACACCTGTGAAGCTAATAAGGTTCTTAGACTATCAAGATTCAAACGGATATGAGCCGATGTAAGACAAAGAAGGACTCAAATGAATAAAAATTGGAGTATAGTTGAGATTTCTTGCTACCAGGAGAGAGAAGAAAGTGAAAATACAAATTATAGAGAGAGTAGAGAGATGAGGAAGAAGGTGCACACACCAAAGTACATTTTTACACCTACATTTAACGGACATTTAACGAAAAATTTACTTGTGAACTAATTTGCTAAAGGACTAAACCACAAGGGTTTAGATCCTAATTTTTTTGCACGTAGATTATATTTCGATTACCTTATCACCATGATGATTTTATATCCGATTAGGCCATTTTCTCTGCAACCAAATTTGCACGCATCTACAAACGAAAGCGATGTTTCTTCGGAATCACCCATGAACTCCAGTCATGGGGTTGATTGGGGGTGTGATTGAATCCGTGTTCGATTGCCTATAGGTTTGCCCTTCCATAAAAGGAGTGGTGTGATGTGTGCTACATCATGAACCATCCCTGGTGAATATGCCTTGGCTTAGGAGTGTAGGAGATGCTTCTCCATGTCTATCCACTAGTGACGACATGTATGAGAGAATACATGTTTTGTAATCTCGTAGACAATTATGTGTTAAGAGATCAAAAGACATGTCCTTGGTAAATACCTAGACTAGGGTATTTATAGAGATCTTAAGAGTACATATAGGGACAGATATCCACTACTTAAATGATTTCAGGATCGTCCCTCTGATTATTCCCTTAAGTGGCTAGAGCCCAGTTTTGAGTGTGTAACCACAACCCTTAAGTTGTACAAACTTTCTGGAAGCTGGATGGTGCACTGTAGCTTACCAAACAACAGGGCCATGTTCCAATGTCTGTAGTCTGCCTAACGTAACCGCGCTTAATACAGATCGAGTCTCCATGTTGGTAACCAGAAAACCATGAAATGAGCTACATGAGACTTCTTTGAGACTAACACTTTGAATTTTTTAGATTTGCAATGGTTGCGTAGTTACAAAGTAGTAAGGCAAAACTATGTCTTGTGAGTACTGAAAAAGATTGTATAAGAAAGAACAAACAAAGACATATGAGGATCAAAACTTTCATGCCCTTGCAAAGGAGAATGGGAGTTTCTTGTGAGGATGGCAAGGGTGCACATTCATTAGCGATCTGTAGCGATGATATGAAAAGATCATTCCCAACTCTGGGGTTTCTATCCTGAATATGCAGTTTCCTACGTCGGCCCATGTTAGGTGCCTAAGTCATTGCATGTGACGTCATTTATTTGACCAAGCTGACTTGCTTAAGGTCGATAATTAGACTTAAACCAGTCAGACGCTTATTAGATAGGAACCACACATGATTGAGGCTAACTCAAGTCGGAGTTGTAGCTCATGTGCCTAGCTCGTTATGATTCTGTGCCTCAACCTTGTTTGAGAATCTTTAAAGCATGTAAAACTTTGCATTTAATCATGTATACAACTAAATAATCAAAATTACTTACCTCTTGAAGCGCTACCATGGTTCTGACCAAGGTTGTTCATTCGTTGGATGGGCTTTCGAGTTGTTTTCCTCGTCTTTAGTAAGTACCTTAGCATGAAAGTGAACTTCCATGCTTGTATGGGATCACGCTTGTGCCACAGTTACTAATGCTTCGACCGTTTTACTCGTTGAAGTTCAAACCTGAAAAGGTTTCTTTTGCAAATATGCAGAAAATCGCTATTTGTACTATACATAGTAAAATGGCGATATTTTGCTCGTTAAGGACTAGAATCATAAGCCGTAAAGTGTTATGGAAAGTTGACATTTGTAGATTTCCAACGATATAAGTCCCATTGTCCAACTATGTTGGAGGAATTCCATTTTAGTCCACAAAGTGGACTGATATGCACAGGCAGTTTGCTAGTTGTCTTTACACTCCAGAGTTGGTTCTTGTCCCGTGCTTACATTCCGTCTTGGAACTATGCTTGGGCGATCCAGAATTACAGACACAATTTTCATGTCTTGGATTGGCCATTCTTTCCTCCAGAGGTGCAAACACACTTTTCATGTCCTTCGAATTAACTAATACTTGCACTTTAACTTAACATGTTGTCTAAGTTTAATTCCTCATTCATTCATTCTAGATGAAGCATCCGTGATTTGCAATATTGATCTGAATATAAGAGTAATATGATTACTTATGGCGCACGTCAATTCCTAGGTGGTAGGAATTTTAAGAACATAGGAAACACGTTTGGTCCCTAGTCGGATTATGTGTCTTGCGAAACAAGTAGAAATGTTTGGAGCCTAACAAAGCATGGTGGCACTGTAGGTCAGCTTGTTTAGCTTATCACAACCGGAGCTAGTTACTCCATGATCACAGTACGAAGGCGTACTTACTCTAATCCGTCTTACTCCAACCAATGAAAAGTTCAAGGACCATGTTTTTTTAGAGTAAGTCGAAGTAACAATGTCATTCAGATTTCTTTTATGTGTGTGAATCTGGGTCCAGAACTGCTATATGGTACATGAGTCATTTCGTATTCATAAAAAAATCTCTTCTTATTCCACATAGTATGCCTTTGTCCTTTTCCATTATGAGCTAGTAATGGAGGATTACAAGTATGGAGTTGCCATGCACTGCTTTGTGAGTGACTTTATTTTTAGCTCGTCGGAGCAAACTTGTGTTGGCTGGAACCATTAAGTTAACCGTTAAATTAGTCATTATTGTGTGTATCATAAATTCGTAGGCTTTTGTAGCACATTGTGCGTTTGTTTAATATGAGTTCGAAGGAAGAACTTGAGGAATTCCGTATCGAATTCCAATTTGCGCTGTGATTGGTAAAAAGGCAAAACGTTTTCCACGTAGCTCAGAATCTCTCCACAAAATTTTACGGAAATCTAACATTCGTATCTTCGCCATGGTGTATGGTAAAAATCCCAATTCGTTCTGAACAGGTACATTTTAATCTGTCAACTTGACAATGTTGCTGTAACGTCATAGCTGGGTTGGCTTGTTGTTCAGCTTCTTTGCGTGCCAAATTTGAGGTCGTTTTCCTTCTGAAAAATTCTGGAAAAATAAGAGCTCTGTAGCCCTACTTCTTAGCTTTTCATGCGCATATGGCACATCACTTGGAAAAATCAAGAAGGCTTTGAATCCCTCGTTTTCCTATAGTTTTGACAGGACTGCAGCTTCGGTTGTCTTTATTGAAAGCTGGAAGGATTTGGTTATGTTGAAAATTATGAAATTTTGAAACAACGATCTTTGATCACTTAGCCCTCGTCTCCAGCTAGCCTTATGTTCACATTTATCCGAAAAATGAATTTTCCATTTGAAGCCATTTAAGTATGCATAATAGGCTTTCGTGATACTGCCATGAATGGGAGTTGGTATGCTCCGTGAGTTTATCGGAATTGCCACAACGATCCTGGAGCTAACGGAGCTGCTATTGGTTCAAATATACTGCGGACCAAGAATATGAAGCGAGTCAAGTTTGTCTTATGGTTTAAATCTGTGAAATGAATTGAACAGTTCGTGTTACTCTGGTAAAATGTTGATGTGGATCACGAAAAGGGTTGCACTGATACGGTTACTATATGCGTGGGTCTGGAGTTGCCATCGCGAATCGGGCTAGGCTTCACATTCCATGTTTGCTCCGAGGTTGAAGTTCAGATGGCTTCCACCATAATTACATATCAAGTCGAGTTTCCAAGATATTATGAAGTACTTCATCGTTTTGCTTTGAACGTGTCATGGACTCTTCACTGCAGTTGTGTCAGACATTCGTAAACACAGCAAGGTTGATCCGTGAAGCATCAAACAGAGCTTCCACCACAATTTGACAAGAACAACAGTAGAGATTGTTCTAATTCGTTGCCGCTCATGGCAGATGTCATTGAATATGATTCTTCTCTCAATGAAAGCATCAATTCTTAGAACCAAATATGCACACATCCGCGAATAAAGGCGATGTTTCGTCGGAATCACCCATAAACTCCGGTCATGGGTGAATGGCGTTGATTCGGGGTGTGGTTTAATCCTTGTTGGATTGCCTGCATATCTACATATTTCTGGACTTGCAGAATCAAATCACAGGTGTAGTTCTATTGAAGGAATGGTGTGATGTGTGCTACATTGTGAACCATCCTTGGCGAAAATGTCTTGGCTTAGGCATGTAGGAGATACTTCTCCATGTCTACGTGTAGACGACGGCGTGCGTGAAAGAATATGTGTATTGTAGTATCGTCGAGAATTGATCATAAGAGATATCCTTGATAAATACCGGGTTAGGGTATTTACAAATATCTTGAAAGTCATTGTAGGGTGAGTAATCACTATTAAATCAAGAGTGTTTTTAGGCGAAAATCTAGGATAAGATATCCAATCATTATGAGATCGTGATTACATTGCCTAATCCTCAAGATATCCTATTTGACATGAACTATGGTTTCCTTCCTTAGGAGGCAAGTAAACTCCTCAATAGGCTTAAGCCTGGTCCGACTAATCACTCCATCGGAATAACTTACTTCGACGAAACTTGACCAGTTCGATCATCTGACCTCCATAAGCTGTGGGCATTCCAGTCATTTTCGCCACTTGGGGTGGCACGTGTCAAGGGCCACAATTAATTTATCCTGAAGTGATGGTGATGCTCACTATTGCATTGACTGTCGTTAGATGAATTTATATTATGAAAATTTCATATTAGATAGATTAAATCATACTTATTTAATGATAATCAATATAATGGTAGTATTCACTACCAGTTTACAATAGTGGGTAAAAATGCACTTAGGCACACCCCTAACATTCTGTCCCCACTCACCCTAGCCACTTTTGATCCCACGTAATGAATCCTGACCCGACAGCTCATGGCGTGGGTGTCCGCAAATGAAACGTACTACCACTGCAGTTGGAACTCCGTATATTCAAAATAGAAAATTATTTTCTTTTTACGTCCATAATTTAGTCGTTTTTTGAGTTTTGAGGTTTTATATACGCTTCTTTATATCTCAGCGTTGTATATGTAACTACGAAGGATACTGCTTACTGTTGCTTTCTAAACATGTCTTATGTTTGGCAGCAAAAACTAGAAAAGAAGAAGGCTTTGTACGTTGAAAAGATGCAAAACAAAATAGCTGGAATCCATAAGACAGCAGAAGAGAAGAAGGCAATGGTTGAAGAGGCGAAAAGAATAGAACGTAATAAGGTGGGCGAGAAGGCTGATGATTTCCGTGAAATAGGGCATGTACCAAAGAAAATCCTATCATGCTTTAACTGTTGATCAACTTTTAATTTCCTAATACTAGTTTATTTTAGCATACAACATGTGACAATGATATAGTATTGGTCATATAACCAGTCATATTAATGTAAGGTCATTTTTTTCTAATGACAGTTCATATCTACTAATCACATGTAAAGCTTCATTTTCATTTCGGTAATCGCTAGAGAAGAATTCGCCAAGACTAATGTTTTGGTGAGGGATTTTCAAAGTCTCAAGGGATTGAGACCAGGTTAGTAAGGAATGAAAAGCAAAATGTATATAGGAGGGATTAGATATTCATCTCATAAGAGGGATCTGCAATTCTATACTTAAAAGGTGTCATTTGCAAGTCCCACTTACATACGTTTGAAATGACAGAGCAGTACATTTTTAATTCCTTGTATTTAAAGTAGTGTAGCGTATTTCTTCCTCACTTGACCTAGATTCGTGGGACGTGTAAATCCCTAACCCAACAAACCCTAAGTTGGTCAGTTTTCTTTTAGGCTTGGAACGCTTTTAATTGCCACACGCAGAAACAACTGGTGGCACAATATTTGTGTTTAGAGGAAGCATGTACCAACTACTATAATTAGAAAAGAATATGTCTTCTTTTTTCTTGTAGTATTCTCATATTACCTATCTCAAGCACTTTACTCCCAACTGTGAGGAAAGTATCAATTGATCTACTACGTATCTTCACTACGTACTGAAGATAACAAGAGACACATGCAATGGACGATCTTGAGATTTATATGACTTTGCCAAATGATCAAAATGTAGCCATCATTTGACATACATATATATGCTATTCACGTATATATGAAATCAATCTGTTTATCTATTAACTCATTAATAAAGTGACACTATAGTACATCTGTACATGTCATATATATAATATTGCCTCATGAAGCTAAAAAATTAGAATCTAATCTGAAGCTTCGATTAGCGTAGAAATATGACTCCCTTGATAAATTGATCAATGATTTGACTGCTTCTGGAGATTCGAGGAGTTGAAAGCGGAGACTAACCTCACTAGCGATGAAACTTTGAGCAAAGTGTTTTTGAAGACAGTCCCAAACTTCCTTGGCGGTCTAAACCCAATAGTACGTGTAAGAAGAGACTCAAAGAAGACACTGGTGATACAACTAACGACCAGTTATCTTGTCGAATTCATGTGAGCTTTTTTCCACTTCGGATCCCGTAAAGCTTCTTCCACCTTAGTTGGAATTTTGATGGAATCCATATAATTTACCAGGGCATTGCGTTCAGGTGCAATGCGCTCACAAGATACATAATTAGCATTTGGATACCTCACTTTTCCTTCAAGAGAGAACCTATCAAGTTGCATACCTTGATTTTGTCTTTGTGGCAATTTGTATGTACTCCCATATGGTATTGGGGTTAGTTGTTTATTATCTAAAATACTTACCTTCGAAATATTCAGAGGAGATGAAACGGGCACTGTAGAATCACAGAAAGGGCGAGGGGCTGCTATCAGATGACGAAATTGCGCAAGGCTTGCTAGCCGACTTGATGACAATGACATGCTCATCTGTATTGGGCTGACACCACTGGGCTGTTCTGTATTAAGTTTTCGGCTTGCATCAATCAAGTCCACAAAGGGAGTAGAATCCTCCACACACAGACCGCCAACCTCAGTTTCGTCCCTCTTATCTCCTCTTGAACCACAATGTGTTAGCGTTTTGTAAAATGGAAGAAGGAAAAATGCACTGAGAATGTAGAAATGACTGCTATTCTCTCTGCAAGTTACAGAGGAACCTTCTCTTTCTTTGTAAAGTATATTTTCCACACAGCACACACACTCGTGCAAAAGGGAATAATTATGTTAACAAGACTTAGCTGGATACACACAACCAACAATACAATCTCAGCCTTACACTTGTCATAATCTAAGACTAAGTGAATACACAATTAGAAACAAGGCTTATTTACTTTAACTTTACTTAGCTCACAGCTTATACACTAATACTCCCCTTTAAGCTTTGAGCAGATATAACTCCAAGTTTGTCCCTGAGATAGTTGAATCTGTCCTTTGGTAATGCCTTGGTGAAAATGTCTGCCACTTGTTATTTGGTAGGACAGTAAACCAAGTCAATTATCCCTTGCTGCAAGGCATCCTTGATGAAGTGATATCTCCTGTCAATGTGTTTTGTCTTCTGGTGAAACACAGGGTTCTTGGATATTGAGATTGCAGATGTGTTATCACACTGCAGAGGAGTTGCCTCAGCTTGTAATTCTCCAAAATCTTCAAGAACAAACCTGATCCATATAGCTTGAGATGTTGCTTCGGCAGCACTTATATATTCAACCTCTGCTGTGGATAATGCAACACAATTTTGTTTCACAGAAGCCCATGAGAACACTCCACTGCCAAAAGAAAACGCATAGCCTGAGGTACTCTTGCTGTCATCTATTGATCCTCCCCAATCACTATCACAGAAACCAACCAAAACTGCCTTCTTGCCTTTCATATAATGCAACCCATAGTCCAGTGTTCCCTTGATATATCTGAGCACTCTCTTAGCTATCCCATAGTGCTTGTTAGAAGGGCCATGCATATATCTAGCTAACAAACTAGCTGCATACATCACATCTGGTCTTGTAGCAGTAAGATACAATAAACTGCCTACAAGTTTTCTGTATTTCTCTTCATCTGCTGCACCACTTCCATCTTCTTTACTTAACTTTTCAGTAGCCACAAGAGGAATAGAGACAGATTTACATTCTTTCAATCCAAATTTATCCAACAGAGAAGAGGCATACTTCTTTTGATGAACGAAGATGCTAGATTCTGTTTGAATCACCCCCATCCTCAGAAAATGGTGAAGAAGACCCAAGTCTGACATCTCATACTTCTCCTTCATATCATCTTTGAACTCATCCAGCATATCTTGATTGTTTCCAGTCTACACAATATCATCCACATATATGGAAACTATTAGTATATCCTTTTCTCCCCTTGTCTTAGTGTAGAGAGTTGCTTCACTTAAGCTTTTCTCAAACCCACACTTAGCAAAATAGCTGTCAATCTCTCCATACCAGGCCCTAGGCGCCTGTTTCAAGCCATAAAGAGCCTTGTGCAGCTTGTAAACCTTATCTTCCTTGCCACTAATCACAAACCCTTCAGGTTGATCAACATATACTTCTTCCTGCAATATTCCATTTAAGAAAGCAGACTTAACGTCTAATTGAAATAGCTTCCAGCTTCTGTGTGCAGCAAGTGCAATTAGTGTTCTGATGGTGTCCAATCGGGCAACTGGAGCAAACGTCTCATTGTAATCAAGTCCTGGTTTCTGCACATATCCTTTAGCAACCAGCCTTGCCTTGTTCTTTTGTACTGAGCCATCCAAATTTAGTTTGGTTTTGAACACCCATTTCACACCAATAACCTGTTTATCACTTGGTCTGTCTACAAGCTTCCAAGTCTCATTTTTCTCAATCATGGACAATTCTTCTTTCATAGCTTTTATCCAAGCTTTATCTTGTGCAGCTTCCTCATACTTCTCTGGCTCCACAATACAAAGATTGCATTGTGCTAGAATATCACTGATATTTCTCCATTTAACTGGTGTATGGTCATATGGACTAGTGATCTCAACAGTTTCAGAGACATCTCTATCTTGTTCTTCCATTTGATTACTGTCTACTATTTCTGTCACTTCTTGTAGACTGAAATCATTCACAGTCCTATACTGATCTTGAATGTTAGTTATTGCAATAGACTTCTCTGAATTCTCCTTCCAATTCCAAGACATAGTTTCATCGAAGACCACATCCCTTGATAGAATTAGCTTCCTTGAACATGGATCAAATACTCTGTACCCTTTCTCACAAGTTGCATAACCCACAAACACACCTTTGACAGACTTTGCATCAAGCTTTTGTCTTCTTTCAGCTGGTACATGAACATAACAGAGTGATCCAAACACCTTTAAGTGACCAATTCCTGGTTTTCTCCCACTATAGGCTTCAAAAGGAGTCATGTTCTCAAGAGCTTTTGTAGGCGATCTGTTCAGAATATAAACAGCTGTATGTACAGCTTCTGCCCACAGAAAGTATGGCATGCTCTTATCATGAAGCATTGCCTTAGCCATCTCTACAACTGTTCTATTCTTTCTCTCCACTACTCCATTTTGCTGTGGAGTATAAGCTATGGATGACTGTCTTTGTATGCCTTCAGATTCCAACAACTTGCTGAATTCAGTTGAGAGAAATTCTCCCCCTCTGTCACTTCTTAGACATTTCACTTTAAATCCACATTGTAACTCCACCATTGTTTTGAACTTTCTAAAACAGATTAGTGCCTCAGACTTATGTCGTAGGAAATAAACCCATGACATTCTTGTGTGATCATCAATAAACAACATGAAATATTTATTCCCAGCAATTGATTCATTATTCATGGGACCACACAAATCTGTGTGTATCAATTCTAGAGGATTCTTGGCTCTCCAAGATTGTCCTTTTGGAAACCAATCTCTGTGTTGTTTTCCCATTTGACATCCTGCACACACACCATCAACATTTTCAAGGTGCGGAAGACCATGCACCATTTCTTTTTCTCTAAGCTGCTTGAGGCTTCTAAGATTTAGGTGTCCTAGTCTCTTGTGCCAAAGCCAGGTACATTCGGCTACACTAGTTTTCAATGCAACTTGATCAGTTTGCATTAAAAACAAAGGGTAGCACCTATTACTTTTCATCTTAACCTTGATAACCAGACAATCAAGTGAAAGACCATCAAAGATACAACACTCTCCTCCACCAAATAGCAAATAATATCCATGTTCGTCCATCTGTCCCACACTCAACAGATTTTCCTTCAAACCAGGTAGAAACATGACTTCCTTGATGCATTTACTACCAGCATTTGTATCAATCATAAGTGAACCTATTCCAGCAACATCTACCAGATTTCCAGTGGGCATTTGTACCTTTCCAGTGACATTTGTCCTTACATCCCTAAGTAGCTCAGCATTTCCAGTCATGTGGTTACTACA